CTTTATTGATGGGAGGATTGTCCAAGAACATAAACTCACAAAAAACAAAGTGAAACCCTGAACATGAAAACTAGGAACAGAACACTGAGAAACAAGAACTAACATACTAGGAAACGAGAAAACGTGGAACTAAAACTGAAACAGTGTGGCTGTGGCTCAGGTGGTGGAGCAGCTACTGATCGGAAGGTTGGTGATTCGTTTCTTGGCTTCCCCAGTCTGCATGCCTATTATCCTTGGGCAAGATACTCACCCCGAGTTGCCCTCCGATCATCAGAGTATGAATGTGTGTGAATGTAGTTTAGTTTGCACTTGTGTTTAGAAGTGCTTGTATGAGTGAATGAGACATGCTGTATACAGCACTTTGAGGACTCCAGGGGAGTAGAAAAGCGCTATATAAGAATGAGTCCATTTACCAAACACAAGGAGACTTACACACATGAGGCAGTACGATGCTACAAAGGGCAAAAGACATCAGAGGGCTTAAATACACAAGAGAGTAATGAGGGAAACACAGCTGGAACTAATCTGATACAACGACACAGGAATCAAACCTGAATGCACTAAACACAGGACACGGGACTATCAAAATAAAACAGGAAACACACAGACACAAACTGACGCAGCGACTGGGGAGACAGGAAGAAACACAGAGAGAGACTGACTAACCACAAGAGAAGATTAGAGTCAGAGGGAGGGAGAACTATGATCACTAAGAACCTACGACCCAGAAACTAAACAGAAACTAAACGATCTAATAAGAACTCCAAATGACAAGAAAACCAAACATCAACCCATCCCCAGCTCTTTCTGTCCTGGTCGTTGTGTCCTTGGGCAAGATACTTCACCTACCGCCTACTGGTGATGGCCAGAGGGGCCGATGGAGCGATATGGCAGCCTCGCCTCTGTCAGTCTGCCCCAGGGCAGCTGTGGCTACACCTGTAGCTGCCTCCACCAGTGTGTGGATTTGAGAGTGAATGAATAGTGGCATTGTAAAGCGCTTTGAGGGCCTAGAAAAGCGCTATATAAATGCAATCCATTATTATTATGAGTAATGTTCAGTATTCATTTATTTTCCAGTGTACTATTACTATTCTAGATTTAGATTAATGCATTTGTCACTTGTTCCTGAAGCGATGGTTCTACTAGTCAGTGATTTATCCTCAGACCTGCTCTGGACTGTGGAAAGGAGTTGTATCTGGCTCTACTCGTCCAGGAAAAGTTTCAGAAGACACACAATCAGAGGAAGCTCTACAATATAAAGGTAACATTAATGTGGGCTAAAGCTACAGTGTTGGACTGCATGCATGCAGGATCCAGGTATGATCCAGTTCATTTTACTTTGCTAGCCCCTCCCTCTGGAAGACACCACTGCTGCTTTAATCACAACTACGTTAAATGATGGCAGCTAGTAACCGATGACTGAGCCGAGAGCATGTCTGGGTCTCTGTTATCTGACGACCAGTTAAATTTTCTTTTTCATGTCGCTTGACTTGACAGAGGCTGTGTTTCAAAGACACACGCCTTAATGACAAGTTAGTTTTTTAAGCTTTAACTTTTATATATTGTGTTTATGTTATTGTTTAAGGTCACTGATGCAGGTCTTATTCTTTATTTCTTCTTCTATAAATGTTCACTCTGGTAGATTCAGTTTTATTTATATAACAACAGCAGTTGTTGCTTTACATTGTGAAGTCCCTGCAATAATACAAGAGAGAAAACCCCGACAATCATGACCCGCTATGAGGAAGCAGTTTGGCGACAGTGGGAAGGAAAAACTCCCTTTTAACAGGAAGAAACATCCAGCAGAACCAGGCTCATCTGTTGTGACCAGTTGGGGTGATGGGAGGAAGACAGGACAGAGACCCACTGTGGAAGAGAGCAGAGATGAATAATAACGAATGAGTCAATACAGAGAGGTGTATAAACACATAGTGAGTGAAGAAGAAAATCTCAGTGCATCATGGGAGTCTCCAAGCAGCCTACACCGACTGTAGAGTAACTGAAGGAGGTCTTGATGCACAATCAGTCATCCAGGTAAGTAAATCTCCAAAAGTTGGTTCTGTTCATCTGGACATAAATGCTACGTCCAGATTAACTATAGGAGGATTCAGGGTCACTGATCCAGTCCTAACTATATGCTTTATCAACAATATACTTTAATATAAGTGTAGCATTTAAATAAACTGCAAAGTAACTAAATATTTCCTGAAGGATCACAAACCATCAAACTGACCAAGGAGCCACAAAGTAAAACAGATGTTGTGTCCAAAAGCGTCAGCTGTAACTGGGACTGCTGCTGCACCACAACACTCCTGCATGTCGTGTCCACAGACATGACGTCTCTCAGGTTTGTGTTTGAAGATCAAATCAAATAAGATGATGCTTCATTTGAACAAACAGTTGTGAACAAAAATCCTTCCCAACATACACAAACTATTCGGAGATGTTTCTTGAATTCAGGACTTCTTACACATTTTTCTCCAAATGTCTCAAGTTTCAGACTTTTTAACTGTGTGAGTATCAGCGACTCTCTGACTCTGTCTACATGGTTAATGTGACTTCTGCTTGTGTGACGTGTCACACGGCTCCCTTAAATCATTTTGGTTATAAAGTGTGTGAAGCACAGGAGGAGGAGTGACTGAGAGCAGAGAGGAGGAGCAGAGATTCAGGGAGGAGCTGAGCTGTTACTGAACTATAGAAGAGAGAAAAACCTCCACATTCAACAGAGTTCAACACAAAACAAACTTTATGTTCCTCAACATGCTGTCATTACATCACTGTGTGTTTCCTCTGATTCTTCTCACTCTCACAGGTCTGCTCACCTACACAGGAAACTATGTTCAACTCAAATGATTCATTAACGTCAATTATTGATAATTGTTATTATCAATAATTGAATAATTATCAATTATTGAAAACGTTCTCTCTTCCTTCAGGTGTCACATGTGATCAGCTCACTCCAGTCAAAGATGAAGAGTCCAGTGTAGAAGGCAGCACAGTTACTCTGACCTACACTTACAAAGTGTCAACTGGTGATTATTTCTTCTGGTATCGACAACATCCAGGAAAACCTCCAGAGTTCCTGATCTCACACTCACCTTCAGGAGAAGTAGGAGAAGAAAAATTCGTGGACTGAAGATTCAAGTGAAGGGAACAGAAATCAATATGAGCATCTCCTCTGCTGCAGTGTCTGACTCTGCTGTGTACTACTGTGCTGTGAGGCCCACAGTGACAGGAAACAGCAAAACTCTGTACAAAAACCTTTGGAGCAAAGACAACAGAATACTCCACAACATCCACTAGAGGGAGCCACACACTGTTAAACCTCTGATTCTTGTGTCATTGGACTGATGACAAAGACGACAGAGAAATGAAGCAGTAAAGATCAGAGACAGAGACAGAGCTGCTGTGGAAGCACAAAACTGTTTGATTGGCTGAGCTATTAAACTGGCCCCGCCCACTGAAGTTGAGCTCATCCAATGACATTATTTGTTGGTCATTGTGCTGCAGTGGAAGAACATTGTTCATGTGCTGTCTGTCTGGCTTTAATAACTCCAAAGACATGTTGCTGCACCTCTTTTTGCTTCTATCTCACATTATAGGTGAGTTTAAGAACAGGGATTAAAGTTTAGTTGAAGCTGCTGCATTAAGCAGATATACAGACTGCATTTCACTACTTTTCTTCTTTCTTTTTCCAGGACTAACAGCTGGAGACTCAATCACTCCTCAACAACCTGAAGTCACTAAAACAGAAGGAGAATCTGTCACACTCACATGTAGCTATGAGACAAGTGCAAGTGATGTTTGGCTTTATTGGTACAGACATGATTCTGACCTTCAGGCTCCTCAGTTTATACTCTACAAAGGAGCAAAAGACTACAGTAGTTATGGATATATTCCCAATAATCGATATGGATCCCAAACAACAGATACAACAACTAATCTGACCATAGCAGCCCTAACCCTGGCAGACACAGCTCTCTACTACTGTGCTCTAGAAACACAGTGATACAAAGTGTAGAAGAGGCTGTACAAAAACCTGAACACAGATATCTGACTACTCTTCAAAGAGGAGGGAAGTGGTATTCAAAGCACAGCTTCATATCAGATGGATTCTGCTCATTCCTGTTTTATCAGAGTCACTGTGGTTACAGCTGCTAATGAAACACTGTGGGAGGATTCACATGAGCAGCAGATCCACATCAACCACAAACCAACTGCAGGAACGTTCAGACATGAAGACATTTTATTCCTTATTTAGTGATGATGTGTGTAAAAAGCATCAGAAGTCAAATACAGTAACTAGTAATAAACTCCCAACATTGTTGGTGCATTAATGATGTTTTACAGCTGAAAGATTTACTTTGTTATTCTCACATTTTCTCCTGCATGGTTTAAACTTTTCCTTCATTTTTTTATAAGAATCACGTCTTTGTGTTTTCTCTCGATGATGTCATAGGTACAGTTTCTCCTCTGTGTTCTGATTGGACATTTAAAGCAGCGCCATCATTGATGGTATCAGATCCATTTCACACGTTGTTGAAGTTCAGTCTGAAGTCACTTTAAGTCTCAAAGCTTCACTTTAACCTGCAAAGACCAACAACGTCTCATTTCCTACTGATTCTTCTCCCCACACTGCACCACTACACCGGATATCAGGACTCCACACTCTCCAAATTCCCAGTGTTAAAATTCAGTCATGAAACATTTTGGCAGATACAAGAAGATTCTTCTACTGTTTTCTCTTCTTCAGATTTTAAAGATGAACATCATGATCCACACTGACACACATTCATATTCTTTGGTTTCCTGGATTAAAACGGAGCCTCTGCTCTTTATTTATCCTGTGCTTGTTTCTCGACTCACAGTTCAGTCTGTTAAACCTGCTTCCTGCAATAGGAGCAAATATCCACTGAAAGCAGCAGAAAGACGTGCTGAGTGTGAAGCTGTCAGCAGGGGGAATAACACAGCGCTGTGAATGAGTCCTGTCACTGTGATCAGGCTCCTCCTTCTAATCCACCAACTTAGTGTTGATGAAGACTAAACAGAGAGATCACAGCTTCTTTATACTTGCTGTAGCTCACAGTTACTCTACACTGCAGATATGACGCCTCTGTTCATCTCAGTGCTGCTGGCTGCTATGTGCCTCGGTATGAACACAACTCTGTTTCTTTGATATCAACATTGACGTGATTCTTTAACAGCACACTGATACTGTTTGTTGGTGTTTTACAGAATGCAGAGCACAAAAAGACAACGTGCTGCAAGCAAAAGGAGAAGAGACTGCTGCTGCAGGAGGCACAGTAACACTTGACTGTCTCTATAACACCAGCAGTTTAACAGGTACTTCTCTCTTCTGGTACAAACAGGATGGAAACAACAGCCCCGAATTCATCCTGATGCGCTATAGTGGGGATGATGGAAACACAGCAGACGAGTTCAAGGAGAGATTTTCCTCCACACTGGATTCCAGCATCAGATCAGTTCCTCTGAAGATCCAGAAGCTTCAGCTGTCAGACTCTGCTGTGTACTACTGTGCTCTGCAGCCCACAGTGACAGGAAACAGCAAAACTCTGTACAAAAACCTTTGGAGCAAAGACAACAGAATACTCCACAACATCCACTAGAGGGAGCCACACACTGTTAAACTGTCACCTTTAGGTCTGAATTCTCTGTTCTTATGATTAAACAAAGTCTTATCTATAACTCGTTATGTTACATCTTATTACTGTGCTGTTGTTTGATGTTTCCTGTGTTTCTTACATTATGTATAATATGAAGAATTGTTTTATGAAAGTTTGATATTATAGATATTATTTTGCTGTGTCTCTGGACCCTCTGAAAAACACTTTTACACTACAAATGTGTCGACGCCTCTCATGTAGTTGCTGTGTTTTCTGGGACTGTGCTGATGTGTTTTCCATGATTAAACACAGCTGCAGTCATCAGAGCCGTGCACTACTTTGTGTTATCCAGTGCTACGATGGTGGTTCACTTCTCACCAATGTTCCCTCTAAGCTGCGCACGTGCACAATTGCGCACTGCTGGCACGCTCTCTGCGTACAGAAAAAAATCTAACCTGAATTGAAATTAAAATTAAAACTTTAACAATTCTGCTTTGCAGTGTGAGTCAGTGACTGGCTGCTCCCGTATGGGATCAGAACGATGCCACCTTATCCCACAGTCCAGCCAATAATGCGATTCACATTCGTATATACGCAGCTAATCAGCGTCGTTGACAGGCTATGACAGCGTCCTTATGTGCGACACCGGTGTTTTAGCAAAGCGGCTGATGTGGAGTGAAGCCACGTTAATGACAACGTGTACAACCATTGGAGATGTGAGCAGGACAGACGGAACAACTGACGGACAAAGTGTGGACTTTATACCAGTTTTTAAATTGTGTTGATCGGCCACGTAAAACCAGAGTTATGATAAAATATCTGCAATGTTTGATTTTCTTCCTGAATACTGTCGTTGTTTATATTTACTGCGGGAAGAAACATAAAAACGGCGTTTTATAAGGAAAACGCTCGAAAGCCTGTGAGCAAAACCAAAAAATCCCACCCTTTCCTATTGGTGGAACAATGTACCATGTGGACCAATCAAAAAATGATATGGCAACATGGCCTTTAATTGTTTAGGAAGGGAGGAAGTTTTAGGAGTGACGGCGTGTTTGCGATGTGAGAGATTTGCGACATTTAGCGCAAATCTTGTGTAGTTAGTGTGTAGTTAGTGTGTAGTTAGTGTGTAGTCAGTGTGTAGTTAGTGTGTAGTTAGTGTGTAGTCAGTGTGTAGTCAGTGTGTAGTTAGTGTGTAGTGTAGTCAGTAGTTTTGTTGTGTGTCAGAACAATGAGGCGACTGCTGAGTGTTACAGGTGTTACAGCAGTGATTCATCTGCTGCTGTCAGGCCTGCAGGTATCAGGCTGTTGTTCTCCTTCATCTCATAGTGGACAGGAATTATTTTTTGGAGCGGCACAAATAATTTGTGTGGCATCAGATTTGATGCAGAACAGCTGATTGTTCTGTAAATAGTTTGAAATGTTTATTTTAAAGCGCATTGGCTTCATTTAAAAAAAAAAAAAAACATAGCTGCAAAAAACTTTGTAGCTACCAGACCACATACTCATAATACAAGTCAGAGCTTTATACATATATACATATATCTATATATATTTATATATCTATATCTATATACATCTATATATATATATCTATATATATATATGTATATATATATATATATGTATACATATATATATATATATATATATATATATATATGTATGTATTAGGGGTGCAACGATACTCGTATCGATATTGAACCGTTCGATAGAGTGCTTTCGGTTCGGTACGCATATGTATGAACAATACAAAATTTTTCATTTTTTTTATCAACTTTCCTTCTGACGATGCTGTCTGTGTGGAGCGCTCAGTGGATCTGCGTTTGACTACTCCGCCTAGGCTGCACTGTTGAGTGCAGATCCACTGAGCGCAGCGCAAGCTAGCAAGACAGAAGCTAAGCTCCTTGCAACATGGCAAATTGAACCTCCCCCACCCTCATAGAAGCTGTGTCCCAAAACGTCGGCTGCATCCTCTGGAGGCCGCATTTGAAGGCTGATTACGCCACAGCCAGGCAACGAAGGCTGTCCCAATGCGTCGACTCCTTCAAATGCGGCCGACAAATGCGTCCTTCATTTCCCCGAATTTGAAGGATGGGTCGGGTGTGTCCTTCGTGGCCCACCATATCCCAGAATTCATAGTGCGGCCCAGCCAAATTTCAGCTGCCAACAATGGCGGCCGCTACTAAGTTTTAAAATTACTCTTATTAATCTTTCCGGGTCACAAAATAAACTTTTACCATATTTTCAGGTGAGAAAGTAGCTGTGTAAACTTCAAATATCTTCTTGGTCTATCAAGACATCGTATATTTGCAAAAGTGTGCCGACGTTTTCGGAGACGTCTGTTACCCACCCGCTCGATAGCAAGCCGGGGGGTTCAATGGTCACTCGAGCCGGCGAGAGCAGCGGACTCCCAGCTTCATCGTTTTCAGACCCCCGCTCTTTCACTATTCAGGTTAAACATGATATATAAGTCACTCGGATAACTTAAAAATTTAATTGTTTGCCTTTTTTCTGTGTTTTATTTGTTCCGGAGTAAATCAGTTTGGCTGAGATTAAAGTTATTTGATTATTAGATTAAATAAAACTTTATTAATCCCTCGGGTGGGTTCCTCTGGGATTTTCACACAGCTGAATAAACGTTAAACAGAAAACTGATTAAACAGAAGTGTGAGACGGTCGAGAGTTTACTCCAGTGGCAAGAGGTACTAGTGCACCCAGGCTTTCAATTGAAATCAGTCACACAGCGATAAAAAGAAACACAAAAATGGCAAGAAGCTGTTGTATTATTAACTGCAATAGTCGGTCGCATGACAGCCACGGGAAGCTGACGGGTAAAGAGATCGGTTGTTATCGGATTACATCGTTGAAGAGAAATTGTTCGAGCCATGTTTCCGAAGTAAAAAGAGCCGATGGATGGTCTGGATATACCAAATATAACGTCTCAGAACACTCCAGCTCACAGGTTAGTCTGCTCCAAGCATTTCCACAAAGGTCAGTCTGCTGTTGTAGTTAATGTGTCATTTTCATAACATAATTGGTGATATAGGTTACAAGCAAGTCTGGCGCTGAACAGAAATTGTCGCGCTATGCTCCTTTGTTTATTGTGCATAAATAGTGAATTGTCCTGACACAATATTGCGTTTCGCTTCTGTTATTATGGTACATTGACAAAAACATATACTTTTATTCACAGGATAAAACTGGTTTTTTGTATCATTAATTGCCCAGTACGATTACAGCATACAATATTATTGTCACTGCTACATTTCTGTGATGCTACCAGAAATTATTTCCACTGCTAATTAATTACCGTTGAGCTCAAAGGTCCTATTAATAAACGGTTAACGAATGTGTATTTATGACGACGATTTGTGAGACTGGTAAACTTACCTTTGTTCTTACAATGGTCTTTCGTTCTACACGGTGCATTTCAAGGTCCTGCACCCATCCGTCGGTAAACTGTACCTGGGCTTGTTGCAGTGACCTGAAGTTACTAAACTTCATGAGTGTATGCACTCACTCCAAGAACCGTATGATTATAAATATGAGCGTGGTGAAAGTTGGGCAGCACGCTAACGTTTCACTCCTTTGATTTTTTCCTCGTATCTTTTCTTTGCCTTTTTGTCGAGTCTGTCTTTGACCGGCATTGTTCTCCTTCGTAATGTACATAACTTTTTTGGGGGGCAAACAAAAAGCAAGAAGGTATTGGAACCGGAGAATGAACATTTTGCGGTGCTGCAAATGCTTGCATTTGATGCGATACTTGGATTGTTTTGCCACTAGTTCCCGGCATGCAATGCGCAAAAGTCACGTGGTCTGTCAATCTCTATTCAGATCTGGCCTTTGGAACTATTTTGGTTTTCATGTGACGTATGACCCTGAAGGTAAGCGCGTCATGGACAAAAGTAAAACAGTATGTTGGATGTGCCACGCAATGCTCAATTACATTGGTGGGAACTAGTGCGTTAGCGCAGTTAGCTCGTTAATGTGTTGACGCCGTCCAGCCCCACGCACGGGGCGATCCGCGGTAGCTCGTTAACGGAGATTTGCCGTGTTGTGGCGTTAACGTCATTTCAGATTAACGCTGACAGCACTAGTGGGAACACAACGAATATGACTGCACATTTACGCCGACATCATCCTAGTGCAAAGACAAGTGCAAGCAGACAAAAACAACAAGCACGCATGCTACAAACTTTACCCGAGTCATTTAGACAGCCGTTAGCACATGATTCTCCTTATGGGGACCTGATATGTTTAATATGCTGCTGAGAATATAGCCCAGAAGAAGCGGATAGTATAGCTTTTATTTTGGAAAGAGCCATTTCTCTGTAATAAACTCTCTTTTCCAAAGATGAGGGATTTCTCCATCAGTGTCATGGTCCTGGGCCATGTGGTCCCAGTATTCTTAGTTTCTTGTATTTTTGTATTTCGTTCCTTATTTAGGCCATGTTTCCTGAGTTGTCCTGGTGTGTTGTTCCCAAATGTTTTCCCTTCGTGACTCTTACCCCCTGTGTGCCCCTCTGTGTATTTATGAGCCCTCGTCTCTCTTTGTGTTTATTCCATGTTTCCCCTGCCTGTTATGTCTATGTTCTTGTGTAGTTAGTGTGTAGAGTCCAGTGTAGAAGGCAGCACAGTTACTCTGACCTACACTTACAAAGTGTCAACTGGTGATTATTTCTTCTGGTATCGACAACATCCAGGAAAAGCACCTGAGCTCCTGATCTCACACTCACCTTCAGGAGAAGTAGGAGAAGAAAAAGTTCCTGGATTGAAGATTCAAGTGAAGGGAACAGAAATCAAGATGAGCATCTCCTCTGCTGCAGTGTCTGACTCTGCTGTGTACTACTGTGCTCTGCAGCCCACAGTGACAGGAAACAGCAAAACTCTGTACAAAAACTTTTGGAGCAAAGACAACAGAATACTCCACA